TAATTTATATAGATCCCCAGGACGTGTAAACGTCATTTCTATTTTCTCCTCTGATCTTATAGGTTGGTCAATTACAATTAGGTAAGGAGATTTCTGCAATATATCTGGAAATTAATTTTTGAAAAAGATTTCCAAATAAGGAATATTTAATGACTAATACTCAAGAAACGTCGATAATTTACCTGAGATTTATTAAATGTATTGCGTAATATTTTCCTGGATTTTAGACTGCTCTAAAATTAAAGTATGAAGGAGATAAACATAGTATGTTTAACATATTACCCAGATATTTGGATCAATCTCTAAACATACTATATCGTGGATATATTTGCACACCGTATCGTAGGTATATTTTCAAGTTTTTCAAACATTACAAGTTTACTTTGGGATCTGTTCCCTTCCTGCCGTGTTGAAATTTGACTGGGAATACGTCAAATTACCAAGGATTTTTAATAAGCATTTCATAAATTTGAATTATCACTATATAAAATATAGATTTGGGATATATTTTACATAGAATATTTTTTTTAGTTTCGTTTTGAAATGAGACCTTCATGCTATCAATTGTGATTACCTTCGCAAGTTTAACCTTTTAAAGAATGATTAAGGTTTTATTATTGGATTTGGATCCCTTAATTTACGCTCTAAAGATATTTAAATAGAATATTTCAAGTGTTCTTTTTAGATTTCAATGTTTTTTTTTTCATTTCGTCATTAAATTTTGTTATATCAATCATTGATTGGAGAGCAATTGATGGAGAGTTGTCCCATACATGCCATAGCTGGTGGCTTGTCATTCAGTCAAACAGTCGCCAATATCTCTAAACAGAGAAATAATTATTGCTATTAATAACATATTTATATTTCAATCAATTTATTGTTTTCTACAAGAGTGTACTTTGCTCTTTTTTTTTGGCTTAAAGATAACAACAACAGACGTTGTGTTAAAAAGAGCATTTTTACACACGCAAAATTAAGGAAAGTAGAAAAGAATTGCACAATATATGACAAATGCCCCCAAATTTAAACAAATCAAATGGTACGTACAATAAAATAAGTGCATATCTAGATTTCCTCTAACGATTATTGAGCAATCATTAATATAAAGATGTAGTACACAAGAAAAGAAAAACACAAAAAAGGTTGGGGGGGGGGGGAGGAATAGCTTAATCGAAACACCTCACAAAAATAAAACAATCAATACGGTACATATGGTACATACAATTAACAAAGAAGTTACAGATCTTAAAGTTGCCTTATTTATAAAACTTAACGAGCATCAGTGGATGAAAGGGTTGAAGTTGGTCAATTCAAAAAAAAAAAAAAAAATTACAATACGATTGTTCTCCAAAAAGTTCGTGGGCAACGACTTTTTTTTCATTTAGAATTGTCGTATTTATATTTATTATGAAAAACCGAGCCAAAATAGTTAGTATTGGTTTATGAAAAATATTTTTTTTTTGCAAAGTTAACTGTTTTAAATGATGTAACCGAACAGACCAGCGTGGATCGGATCATATGATTATGATTGAAACACCGTTAGAGACGACAGGAATAATTAAATCAACAGGAAGTAATCGGAATATTTCCAATTTACTGACTTACAAGTGACAGACAGTTTTTTAAGATGGTGTGTAAAATTTGGGAGACGCTGCAAGAAATTGAAGATCTTTATTATGTTATGAAATACGAAATTTATATATTACGCCATTGTGTCTTTACGTCGGACTAGCCCGTGCATCGTGTATATACAAATTATACATGCTTAATTATAACATTCGTTAATTATTGTCCATAATTTTTAGCTCTACTGGTCAGAGACCAGAAGAGCTTATGTGATAGTAGGGTGTCCGTCGTCCGTCCGTCTGTCTGTCTGTCTGTCCGTCTGTCTGTAAACAATTTTTCAAAACGCTACTCCTACTACAGTTTTGGTCTGATTTCAATATAACTTGGCACACAAGTAGAAGGCACTGTCATACATAATTTGGTGCATCGGTTTTTGATTTCGATGAACGGTGTTGTCATGGTTACTAAAAATAGAAATTTCTTTGAAATTCCTTTAAAACAATACTCCTCCTACAGTTTTGGTCTGATTTCAATATAACTTGCCACACAAGTAGACTACACTAAGATACACAATTTAGTGCATCGGTTTTTTATTTCGATGAACGGTGTTGCCATGGTTACTAAAAAAAAAGAAATTTCTTTGAAATTCCTTTAAAACGATACTCCTCCTACAGTTTTAGTCTGATTTCAATATAATTTGGCACAAAAGTAGACTACACTAAGATATATACTATGTAATTTAGTGCATCGATTTTTGATTTCTGTGAAATTCCTTTAAAACAATACTCCTCCTACAGCTTTGATCTGATTTCAATACAACATGGCACACTAGTACACTACACTAAGATACATAATTTAGTGCATCGGTTTTTGATTTCAATGAATGGTGTTGCCATGGTAACTAATAATAGAAATTCCTGTGAAATTCCTTTAAAACGCTACTCCTCCTACAGATTTAGTCTGATTTCAATATAATTTGGCACAAAAGTAGACTACACTAAGATAAATACAATGTAATTTAGTGCATCGGTTTTTGATTTTGTTGAATTGTGTTGTCATGGTTAGTAAAAATAGAAATTTCTGTATAATTCCTTTAAAATGCTACTCCTCCTACAGTTTTGGTCTGATTTCAATTTAAATTGGCACACAAGTTAACCACACTGCATCGCTTTTCGATTATGATGACTGATGATGCCATGGTTACCCAAAATATAAATATCTGTGAAATTACATTAAAACGCTACCCCTCCTGCAGTTTTGATTTGATTTCAATATAATGTGGCATACAAGTAGACTACACTAAGATTCATAATTTATTGCATTGGTTTTTTTTTATCTCAATGAATGGTGTAGCCAGGGTACTAAAAATAGAAATTTCTGTGAAAGTAAGCTACTCCTGCTACAGTTTTGGTCTGATTATACCCCGCGCAAACGAAGTTTGGGGGTATATAGGAATCACCCTGTCCGTCTGTCCGTCCGTCCGTCTAGCCGTCCGTCTGTCCGTCCGTCCGTCTGTCTGTCTGTGGAAACGTGTCCGGTCCATATCTTTCATATGGAGGAACATTAGAATCTCCTTCACACAAAGAATGTTCATGACCTGAGGGTGTGTTATGACCTTGACCTAAGGTCATTTTGGCAAGTTCAAGGTCACTGAAAGAAAAAGTTTATAATTCGTGTCTGGTCCATATCTTTCTTATGGATAAACTTGGTGAGTTTCCATTTTACACAAAGATTGCTGATGACCTGAGGGTGTGTCATGACCTTGACCTAAGGTCATATGGGCAGTTCAAGGTCACTGAAAGAAAAAGATCATAGTTCGTGTCCGGTCCATATCTTCTCATGGATAAACTTGGTAAGTTCCCATTTTACACAAAGGTTGCTTATGACCTGAGGATGTGTCATGACTTTGACCCAAGGTCATTTGGGCAAGTTCAAGGTCACTGAAAGAAAAAGTTCATAATTCGTATCCAGCCCATATCTTTTTTATGGATAAACTTGGTGAGTTCCCATTTTACACAAAGATTGCTTATAACCTGAGGGTGTGTCGTGACCTTGACCCAAGGTCATTTGACAGAAAAAGTTCATAATTCATGTCGGGTCTGTATCTTTCTTATGGAGAATAAGGTTGTGATGTTGGGAGTTTCCACTTCACAGAAAGATTGCTTATGACCTGAGAGTGTGTCATGATCTTGACCTATAGTCACTGAAGAAAAAATGGATAAATAATGCATCCATACTTTCCAACACAGAAATACTTGAAAAATTGTTATTTATTTTTTCAATGTAATCAAAAAATGTTATTTTAAGTATTGATGATTTATTAGGCTGCGCCTTAGTTTTATTCATTAAAAAAATTAATGAGCAATTACCAGTAAATTTTCACTCTAAATGTTTAAACAAATTGTGAACACCTCTTTGATCCAACAAATACTAGTATTTGTGACTTGGCACCTTCTCTGAAAACCCTGCCGGGGGGGGGGGGGTCCCTTTTGGACAATTGTAGTTTCAATATAAATTGACATACAAGTAAACTACACTTTGATTCATAATTTAGTGCATCGATATTTGAATTCGATGAATTGTGTTTCCATGGTTACAAGAATATAAACATATATGTGAAATTTCTTGAAAACGCAATTTCTTTGATTTTAATATAACTTGGCACACATGTAGACTTCACTAAGATACATAATTTGATAAATTGGTTTTTGATTTTGATGAATAATTTTGCCATGGTTACTAAAAATAGAAAATTCTGTGTATTTCCTTTAAAACATTACTCCTGCTACAGTTTTGGTCTTATTTCAATCTAATTTGGCACACAATTAGACTACACTATGATACATAATAGTACATGTACATATTGGTTTTTGATTTCAGTGAATGGTGTTGCCATGGTTACTGAAAATAGAAATTTCTGTGAAATACTATAAAAAGGCTACTCCTCCTACAGTTTTCGTTTGATTTCAATATAACTTGGTATACAAGTAGACTACATTAAGATGTATAATTCTATTTATTGCTGCATGTTGCAAAGTTTCAAATCCAAGTGTTACTTTTCCTTTGTTACATTTACATACATTTGTTACATTACATACACATACAGACCAGTAGAACTACAGTCTCATAAGAGACTTCTGGTTACATATAAGTATTGTTCAGAAATAGTCCATATTACAATATGATTGCACACACTTGGCAGTGTAGTTATCATAATTAAAAATATAGTCTGTATCCACGATCTTTATGAACAATCCTCGTAAACAAAAATAAAACAAACAATCATAGAACGTCTGCAAATCGTCAATAAATGAATGCTTCTGTGTAGCTAGATAAGCAGCAAATTCATGTCTCAAAAATTCTTTAGTCTCTTTTTCTTAAATCCAATTTTTAGACTGTAAGAACAATCTATATATTTTATAGTTTTGGCAACCATGACAGAAAGAACCAGACTGACCTCAGCAAAATCCAGAAGAAATAATTACAAAGAGGTATAAAATGAATAATATCATTAAAATACATTACATATTAGACTCTAAAATATAAAAATGTTAAGGAGCTTTCATCCTTCAAAAGTGTTATTCTACAATAGAGGAATATTACTAATACAGATGTATATATATATATATATATATATATATATATATATATATATATATATATATATATATATATATATATATATATATAGTTACTGCAGTTTCTCATACTTTAAAGAGGATTGTAAATTCAAAGCTTATGAATGCATTTTTCCCTTAGCAATTATTGACATATGACCGAAGAGGAGAGCTGGAATCTGTACAAAGTTCAAGAAAAAACCAATATGGAGACAATGAGTACGGTCCCAAGGAAAATGTCCGAATCGAAGTCCTGGAGGAAAAGATTAAAGTAGATTCTAAAAACCATGACAAAGAGAAGCCAAAAATAATGTCTGAAAAAGACCAGGAAATCAGGTCACTGGAAGCAGAGAATGAATGTCTTAAGATTGAGGTCGCCAACAAAACGGACAAAATTCGACAATTAAGCAATGCCAATAATAAGAAAGAGTTTTTGCTTGAGAAAAGAGAACATGATATTAAAGAAATGCAGAAGGAACCCGAAATTTTAAAAAAACGTGAAGAAAGTCTGAATATGGAAATAAAACGTCTTGAGAATGAGCATACACATATCTCAGAGATGTACAAAGAAACTTTCTCCATTGTCAAAAATCAGCAAGATAAAATGAAATCAATGGAAAAAGAAATAAGTAGCTTAAAAGAGGAACTGGAAAAGATCAAAGCAGAAAAAGCAGAAAAAGAAGAGCAGGAAAGGAAACTTCGCGCGCAAGTGACATCAATGGTGGAGGAAATTAAGGCAATCCACGGAGAGACAAAACTTCGTGATCAGGAACGAGAAAGAAAAATGGAGGAAAAAGAAAGAAAACTGGAGGAAAAAGAGAGAAAAATGGAGGAAAGAGAAAAAAAGAAGGAAGAAGAAGCGGCAAAGCGGGATAAGACAATGTTAGAGCAGATGAATAAAATCTATAGTGCCGTGATATCAAAATGAACTCCAGAGCAAATCCAAACGAAAACTTGGTCATCACTGAAGCCAGGAATTTCAGTATTCAAAACGATAATCATTACCACCACTACGGCTCTCGAATATTTTACCGAAAACGGCAATCAGCCAACAATGCGAAAATACAACCTCTTGTAGAGTGTTCCTTCCAAAACAGTATGGGCATCAATCAAAACAAAAGGGGAGGGAATCCAAAGGATTCGTACTGATGATGATTTAAAAACCCGTACAACTTCATGTGCTACATAAATCCTTGTGTTTTTCAATAACCAAAAAAGAAAGAAAAAAATTAAAATCATATATGCCAAATACTTGAAGTGTACAAAGCTTTGATTTACATTTGTCAACTATGCACTACAACTGTTTGATTTTATATCTTAATTTTCTACTTTTAATTTATTGTTAACACTCTGTAAGAATAATAATGTGAAGCAATGGAGCAGACCACTGTTTCGCTTAATAAAATATTTTGTATGTGACAACATAATACAATTAACATAGTGATCTGAGGCAAGGAGAAAAATGAACAAAAAGCTTGTGTTTTTATAACTTTGTGTGGAAAAGGTTTTGCAGAAAAGTTTTTTATACTAATTTTTTTTTTCCAGAATTTATGCTGATTTCAGTTTTGTATTGTTCTGTGTGCAACTTTATATATTACTCATTTATGATTTCACTTAATAGTTTGGTTTTTATTTTATATATTTGCACTTAAATTAATGTGTGTAAAATTACCATGAAAAAGTCATATTTTTTACTACTTAAGGGGGTTGGATCCTATTATCAAAAGTATTGAGAATTTTTATCAAGTATATTTTTAGAATCTACACACATAGCGGCCGCCAGATAAAATATATTTTCTACCTGGTACCTATATTTGCTTCCGTATGTATCTATAATGCAAGATATTATATGTGATTTATTTGAAAGAAAATGACAAAAATTCTTGATGCACTCTGAATAACACTCTATTTTATTTTATAAAAAAATGGTACAACTTCTCTTCTCCCCTCCCCCCAAAACATATTTGTGTATTTATATTGTTACTGTTATACTAAAAATGATAGATGTTTTAAAATCACGTTGTTATAGAGAGGTATAAGAAATAAACCTCACGATTCATTTTGAATTAAAAAAAAAATTCACTGTCTTTGGTGCTACACTCTTCAGGCAGTCCAATATTTTTTCAATGGAAAGCTTTGTCTGGCTTTTGCCCATAAAATAAATAATTCGGTTTTGCTTTCTAGTTTCTTCATCCAGCCTCTAGTTTTTTAAATCCATAATCATAATCCAACATTTCATAAAAATTGTTCTTTTTCTCCGGGCAAAGAGGAATAATTCTGTTTATTGTTATGCAGTAAGTCTTTTTCAACGTTTTGCAGTCATGTTGTTGCACTTAAACTATTAAAAAGTAATATTCTGTGTATTTCTTATTCTTTTTTTTTCCTTTAACAAAATAAGATTTTAAAATTTGATAAGAACCATGAAGCTTTGTTCCCCATTCTTTTTTTGTATAGTGCTATTTGTGTCGATTCACAAAAATCCCACTTGAAAGAATAGAAAGAATAATTTGTTTGGACTTCGAATAGATTCCTTTATTGGAAATTAAATACATAATTATTTATTTGATTGCTTGCTGATCTTAAAACCAATGTTTTTTTTTGTTTTTCAACTTTTCTTTAGATATTCACATTTTAACTTCTTTATACTGTAGAAAGAAATATTTATGTGACCACAGAAAGTAGTAATTGGGACCCCGCTTGTAATGTTAGAGACCTACAGGAAACACATTGTCTTTTTGTTCGTCCATCTGTCTGTCTTTTTGTGACGCTATAGCTCAAACAGTTTTCAACGAAATGTTTCCAAAATTTGCATTGAAGAATGTAACTATAGGAGGAAGACACCTCATTTTGATGACATATCGCTTTGTCAGTGTGACTGTACGTAAGTTGGAATGTATTCATGAACACTTTTGTTGTGATGCAATAGCTCAAACGTTTCCAAAATTGTACAGAAGTTTAAGGGTTGTCCATTAAGTTCCTAGACAAATGCTATATATTTTTAAATATTTTACCAAACGATAGTTTTAATATAGATCATGATTTTGTGAATATCTATAATTAAAACAATAGACACTATTTTATGAGGTTATAGGTGTAAACACTTTGTATATACAAAATGCACGGCCTAATCTGACACAAAGCTAGTTTCATGATAACGTAAAAAAATAAGGATTTTAAATTTTTATCACATATTTGTGGAAACACGCTATTTTTTTCCCCAATTATGCCACACTACATAGCATTGCAATAATATAGATAGGTAGACCATAACTGAGTAAATTTTTTAAATTAAAATGATACACAATAATGTACGAGCCTCATCAGTATAAACACGTCTTATGAACAGTCCACTACGACATTCCACTATATCCATGAATAGGGATATCCTATTTTCATCAAATAACAGTGGTTTTTCACCTCTTGTAGTGTCTTCCAAATTGTACACACCGTTGAAAAATTGTATATTACAATTTCAAATCAATGAACTTACATAAAATTATTACTTTTATGATATTCATCCTCCTAGCTAAAACCAAAAGGTGGGGCTAGAACATTACAAGTAGGGATGGCAACGAATATTCGAATATTCATTCGATGAGTTGATATAAGAATATGAATTTAAGATTCGAATATTCAGTAAATTTCAGATTTCAGAAAAAGAAGTACTGTGATTTATAAATTTTGATTAGAACAGTGCTGGGATTATCCCTGTTTAATTTACTAGCGATCAATTTCGATCGCCTGATTTCTATCACTACTTTCTTATCTTATAGATCTACTAAATTACATTTATTTTGTTTTGAGTAAGGTGTTAAAGAATTGTATAATAATACTTTATGTATAATACAAAACGTACTTTCATAGTTTTTTTTTTTAGTTAGATCTAGAATCGAGGACAAAAAAAAAAATGAAATCTTAGAATGTCTAAAAGGCGTGAAGAGTATAAATTAATTGATCATTGAACGGATGTCCGATAGAATTACTCTGTAATTAATATTGTAAAGGGCTTAATTTCAGAATAAATGTGTAAATTACTTGATTATCTCGGGTTGTACATAATCCTGAATTTTATATTCATCATCGGGAAATTAGTTAATTACCTAGGAAAATTGTCTATGGAAATATTTGTTTACATTGTATCAAAGATTATAATCATATCTCTTATTAGGCAGATAATTGTAATTCATAAAACGTATTGAAATCTGAACAGTATACCGTTACGACTATATCTTGCCTTTGCTAAGACGACTGGTTCCTACTATAAATACACATGTTTCATTTGTTAAAATTATACTTTTCTACATTTAAATCAATTATTTATTTCAAACATTGACAAATATCAAATAGAATTTCTTATTGTACACCTGCAAAAGTCTTCATACAATTTTACTTCCAATATAAGTATACCTACGCTTAACCTTTCATGATGCATATTTAAAATAAAACAGATTTTATTTATTTTATCGAATATTCGAATATTTTCGAATACTTTCATTGAATATTTGAATTTGAATTATTGACAAAATTGACATCCCTAATTACAAGTATTATAATCTTCAAAGATTTTATGTTATTCGCATATTAATTTTTTTTACCCATTGCATTTTTTTTTTCTCCCACACATCTAGTTGGAAAACGGTTCGTATGGTCAGGACTATTGCATTCTAATATTTCCATGATTACATTAGAGAAATATTTAAAATTTTTGTCTCTGGTTATTAAAGGCAATTCTCATATTTTGATACACAGTTCAGGCGTAATAGTCCGACTTATTTTGTAATAAATTAAAATTCATTATATTTTTGAGAAGTCAAACATCTTGTAAAAGTGTAGGCAAAGTGCATACATAAAAACGAATGAAGAATGAAGATCCTTTATTAAAATTGTGGATTGATTCCCTGGCTGCAGGATGCAGATTCCAGGGTTGGGGAGTTTTTCACATATTCAATATGCATAAGATAATTTTTACTATTTGTTTAATAATGCTCAATTTAATAACTTTAATAATGCTCACTCCTCCATGGCACCTGATCCCATCTCTGATGTTTTGGAGGTCCGTGTTTGCTCTGCACCTATTTTGTAATGTATAATGGACTTTTGAGCTTGAATACTGTTCGTTATCTCCATATATTTCACTTTAGCCATAATGGAAATGAGAAGAGAGTTCTGTACCAAAACAGGAACAATCGTTCACTCAAGACGACTTTGGTCCCAAAATGGAGCTAAGTCGGTCATAAGCTTACTAGCTCAGTATACACATGTACTAAAGAATATACTCAGATGACCTTCTCTGTGTTTAAAAACGGGAAATATACAATACCCGTACAATAACCATGTGTTGATAAATGAAAATAACATGAATAATTGAATGAAGAAAAAAAAAAAACAAGTACTTTTATCATCTCATACTTAAGGAGGTTGGATCCTGCCATCAAAAGTAATGAGAATTTTTTATCAAGTATATTTTTAGAATTTAGACACATAGCTGAATTAAAAATCAAAACAAAAAATAGGGGTCAATGCGCTCCTTTTGGCGCTACAGAGCATTTAGTTTGACCTTTTTGCACTGTAAATACGTCTTACACATAAATCAATTTTTTAAAGTTTTTCCTCCAATATTTTTTATTCAAATAAATTATGGGAACAAACACAGCCTTAATTCATCTTGAATAGACACATTAAAATTTGTGACTATGAAAAAATTTTCAAATTACTCCGCATGTTCAATCATTTGACCTTTTTGCACTCAAAAATTTCCATTTTTCTGGCATTAAAAATCTAACAAGCAAAAAAATAATTTGAAAGTAATGACATTTTACTGAATTTAGGAAGAATGGTTAAAAGTATCTTATATATTCAGAAAAGAAAATAAAAAGTGGGGGTATGTGATGTTAATTTTTAGATATTACTAAAATAGTGCTAATTTTAAGCTTAAAATAGGGATATATTTTTTTCTTAATTTTCACAATATATTTACTATATTTATGAAATATGATGATAGAATTCATGACAGTTTATTTGATATATAATTTAGGACCAGTATAAAACAGTTCACTGTACAAAATAACTCTGTGTGCAGGCTGCATGGAAAAATAGGAATCCAAACTTAACATACTTTGAATACTTAGAAAGAGAAAAAAATGATAATTTTCTTCTAAAAAACATTCCGCCACAAAATATAGTTCCTCACTTAATGCTTTTGGAATGGAATTTAATCATGTAGTTTTAACTGAATATAGTTTAATTGGCAAAGTAGAATCCAAATTTATTGTAAGAATTAAAACTTTATGCAGAATTTTTGAAATATAGGTTAAGATATAAATCTGCTCAAAAGCTCAGGAGCGAACCTCGTTAAACATGTTTTGTGGCAAATCACATCACCGTGTCAAAATATCTTTATTAATTATGGAAAAGAAGAACAGACAAATAGAAAATGAGGAAAATAGTCCATAGTTTAAAAGAAAACAAACATAGCAATTTGCGTAATATGCTTGTCATTTAGCTAAATTAAGAAAATGCATCACGTACCCCGACAGACAGCCACCAGGCACGTACTATCGTTTTTGAAAGTGGGAAGAGTTGGGAGGAGTCAGAAAAAGTTAATTAATCTCCAAAAATTTTGACAAACAAAAAAAGGAAATTGCCATATGATATGACTAACTGCAACAAAACGTGGGACCAGCCAGCCTTTCAATGAACATTTTCAACAGTACAAGGTTATGTTTGGAAAAGAGAGGGGGAGGTTCCCCTGATACTACGTGGCTGCTATAGAGAACGATAAATAATCTGCTTAACATAAGGGACTAATAAACAGAGTAATAATTTTAGAACTTTATTGGATGCTGCTCGAGAATTTTACTGAAATTTTCCATACCAATTGCATGAAGACAGGACCCTTTCTTCTATTACAAGGGCCGTCACAGTTGGTAAAGCGCTCGCTCGTGATCGGAAGGTCGTGTGTTCGAATCACGGCCGCGACTGACCTAAGTCGATAAAAAAAAAAATAGGTAGCAACTGTTCCTTCGCCAAGCGCTCTGCACTTTGAAGTGAAAGTTGCAGGTCCTTCGGATGAGACCTTAAAAACCAAGGCCCTGTGTCATGGTAGGCGTTGGCACGATAAAGAACCCTCACTGCTCAATGGCCCTGAGTGCCTGAGGTCTAAATTTGAAGCCCTTAACCGGTATATGGCGACTATATGAGTGAAAAATTCTCGAACGGGATGTAAATCAACCTACAATCAATCAATTAATCTATTGCAAGAGTATTAGCTTTGCTTCTATTTCAAACTCAAGTGACATCTAATTCATGAAGTATGACGTTCACTGCCTTTGAGGAACACTAATGCAAATGCATAACGTACAGTGTACCTAGAATAGGAGAAACCCCCAACAATTGTTGACAAGAGAAATTAAAGATTATTACAACTGATAGTTACTTTTATTTAACTCTTTTTCGCTATCTTAAGAATAGTGTGTGACAAATAACAAAGATATATTCATGTGTCAACAACTTTACTCTTAACAGTCTCCGAGAAGCTTAAGCAGTTGCACTGGTTACCATTCTGATATGGATTTCTCAGAACCTATGAGTCATAGAATCATATTCTTCACACAAGCTTTGGTTTGGGGATATTTAAAACATTCATTTGTAAAAGATAGTTTTACTCAAAGGTAAAATCTCTGCGTGTATTTAACCTATTTTTAATGAAACGATTTTTTTTCTTTTAAAAAACTATGCTACATAATGTGATGTATCATATATTCACAAGCAATATTTTACGTTAACTCCATAAATGTGTATTTCAGCACATTTGAAATATTTGCATATATTCAATTAACATTTCAAATGAACGATGGAATTTCTTTTTAGAAATACATTAAAAAAACATACGGATTTAAGTTCGTATATTTCACAGGTGTTGAAAATATGCTTAATCTTTCACTGATCCTTCAATTGTTTATCGTTTACATTATATATATATATATATATATATAGAGAGAGAGAGAGAGAGAGAGAGAGAGAGAGAGAGAGAGAGAGAGAGAGAGAGAGAGAGTTAACTATTTTATTTGACTTTTTTCCATATGAAAGCAGATGGATAAAGGGATTACAAAGCGCATGTCAATTTAAATATCTTTTTATCTGTAAGACTTATACTCATATTTCACTGGGCCCATTTAATTTATCTAGATCCCCAGGACGTGTAAACGTCATTTCTATTTTCTCCTCTGATCTTATAGGTTGGGTAATTTCAATTAGGTAAGAATATTTCTGCAATATATCTGCAAATTAATATTTGAAAAAAGATTTCCAAATAAGGAATATCTAATAACTAATACTCAAGAAACGTCAATCATTTACCAGAGATTAATTAAATGTATTGCCTAATATTTTCCTGGATTTTAGACTGCTCTAAAACTTAAGTATGAAGGAGAAAAACATAGTACGTTTATCATATTACTGAGATATTTGGATTAATCTCTAAAAACACCATATCGTGGGTATATTTGCGTACATATGTTGTAGGTATATTTGAAAGTTTTGGAAACATTATAAGATGACTTTGGGATCTGTTTCATTACTGTCTCGTTAAAATTTGACAGCAAATACGTCAAATTGCAAAGAATTCTTAATCAGTATTTTATAAATTTGAATATATTAAATATAAATTTGAGATATATTTACATTGAATACTCTTTTAGTTTCGTTTTTAAATGAGACATTCACGCTATCAATTCACAAGTTTTAACTTTTAAAGAATGATTAAGCTTGTATTATTGGATTTGGATCCCTTTACTCTCTAAAGATATTTAATATAATATTTTACGTTTTCGTATTAGATTTCACTATATTTTTTTTTGTTTTGTTTTTTTATACATAAATCATTGTAATTATTGTGCATAATTTTTACATATTAGTATTGCTAAGAAATAGTCCATATAACAATAAGATTGCACACACATGGCAGTGTAGTTATCATAATTGAAAATATAGTCTGTATCCATAATCTTTTTGAAAAACCCTCGTAAACAAAGATAAAGCAAACAATCATAGAACGTCTGCAAATCGTCAATAAATGAATGGTTCTGTTTAGCTAGATAAGCAGCAAATTCATATCTCAAAAATACACTAGTAACTTTTTTTATGCCCCCGTATCGAAGATTGGGGGGGGGGGGTATATAGTTTTTGCCCTGTCCGTCCGTCTGTCTGTCTGTTTGTCCCCAAAAACTTTAACATTGCTCATTACTTTTGATCGGTTGAAGCTATGGCTTTCATATTTCATATGTGTATTCCATGTGACAAGACCTTTCCTTGGGTACCATCATATTTGACCTTTTAACCTTGACCTTGGAGTTTGACCCAGTTTTACAAAATTTTTCCTAATTTTAACCTTGGCCATAACTTTTGAACGGTTGGTGCTAAGGCTCTCATATTTCACATGTTTAATTCTTGTGACAAGACCTTTCTTTGGATACCAACAACTTGGACCTTTTGACCTTGACCTTGGAGTTTGACCTACTTTTGAAAAACTTTAACATTGGCTATATCTTTTGAACGCTTGACGCTAGGGCTCTCATATTTCACATGTGTAATCCTTGTGACAAGACCTTCCTTGGGATACCAACACCTCTGACCCTTTGACCTTGACCTTGGAGTTCGACCTACTTTTGTAAAACTTTAACATTGGCCATATCTTTTGAACGGTTGGTGCTAATGCTTTCATACTTCACATATGTTATCCTTGTGACAAGACCTTCCTTTGGATACCAACAACTTTGACCCTTTGACCTTAGACCTTGAAGTTTGACCTACTTTTGAAAAACTTTAACATTGGCCATATCTTTTGAACGGTTGGTGCTAATGCTTTCATACTTCACATATGTTATCCTTGTGACAAGACCTTCCTTTGGATACCAACAATTATAGCCCATTGACCTTGACCTTGGAGTTTGACCTACTTTTGAAAAACTTTAACCTTGGCCATATCTTTTAAATGGTTGGTGCTAGGGCTTTCACATTTCACATGTGTATTTCTTGTGAGAAGGTCTTTCCTTGAGCACCATTAATTTTGACCTTGACCTTTATGTTTGACTTACTTTCGAAAAATTTTAACCTTTTCCATATCTTTCCAATGGTTGCTGCTTGGGCTTTTATATTTTACAACTATATTCATCGGTACAAGACCTTACTTTGGGTACCAACATATTTTATTTGCATTTGATAACCTTCGCTATAAGTTGCCATACGGGGGCATCAATGTTTCACAAACACATCTTGTTTCTTCTAATTTTTAGACTGTAAGAACAACATATATATTTTATAGTTTTGGCAACCATGACAGAGAGAACCAGACTGACTTCAGCGAAATCCCGACGAAATAATCACAAAGAGGTATAAAATAAATAATATCATTAAAATACATTACATATTAGACATGCAGACATTAGACTTTAAGATATGAAAATATTAATGAGCTTTCATCCTTCAAAAGTGTTATTCTACAATAGAGGAATATTAGTGATACAGGCATATATATATATATATATATATATATATATATATATATATATATATATATATATATATATATATATATATATATAATATATAAATATATATATATATATATATATAGTTAATACAGTTTCTCATTCTTTAAAAAAGGATTATGAATTCATAGATGATAAACGCATTTTTCCTTAGCAATTATTGACAAATGACCGAAGAGGAGAGCTGGAATCTGTACAAAGTTCAAGAAAAAACCAAAATGGAGACAATAAGTACGGTCCCAAGGAAAATGTCCGAATCGAAGTCCTGGAGGAAAAGATTAAAGTAGATTCTAAAAACCATGACAAAGAAAAGCAAAAAATTATGTCTGAAAAAAACCAGGAAATCAGATCACTGGAAGCCGAGAATGAATGTCTTAAGATTGAGGTCGCCCACAAAAATGACAAAATTAGGCAGTTAAGCAATGCCAACAACAAGAAAGAGTTTTTGCTTGAGAAAAGAGACCATGATATTAAAGAAATGCAGAAGGAAAACGAAATTTTGAAAAAACGTGAAGAAAATCTGCATATGGAAATAAAACGCCTTGAGAATGAACACAAACATATGTCAGAGACATACAAAGAAACTATCTCTATCGTGAAAAATCAGCAAGACGAAATCAAATCCATGGAAATAAAAATCAGTGCCTTAAAAGAGGAACTGGAAAAGCTCAAAGCAGAAAAGGAAGAGCAGGAAAAGAAACTATACGCGCAATTGACATCAATAGGGAATAAAATGGAGGCGAGCAACAAAGAAGCACAAATACGTGAGCAGGAAAGAGAAAGAAAAATGGAGGAAAGGGAAAGAAAGCGGGAAGAAGAAGCTAAAAGACGAGAGAGATTGCGAGAAGAAGAATGGGAACGGAGAGAGGCAAAGCGAGATAGGGAGGCAAAGGAAAACAATAAAATAATGATGGAGGAGATCAAGAAACTCTCTAGTGCACTGAGGAGTAGTACAACTCTAATCCGAAATGATATCAAAGAAAATGCAACAGTAAATCCAAACGAAAACTTAGTCATCACTGAAGCCAAGAATTTCAGTATTCAGAATGATAGCCATTACTATCACGGCCCTCGTACATTTTACCGACAACAGCAACCAGCCATCAATGCAAGAGGGAAAATACACCCTCTGGTACAGTGTTCCTTCCCAAGCAGGATCGGTATCACTCAAAACAAAAGGGGAGGAAACCCAAAGAGTCCGTACTGATGATCATATATACATGTATATATAATGAGCGTGAGCGGGAACGAGAAAGAAAGCGGAAAGAAGAAGCTAATATATATATAATACAAATTTATATTATTGTTTTATGTGTGTTCTTCAATAATCAAAAACAAGCCCCACCCCATCCCCCTCCCCCCTTAAAAAAATGATTAAAAAAATAGAAAATATAATTAAAATTAAAAAAAAAAAACACAACCAAACAAATAAACAAAACAAAATCATATGTGCCAAAGATTTACAGTGTACAAAACTGATTTTCATTTGTCAACTATGTACTACAACTGTATGCATGTTTGACTTTTTCGTCGATGTTTTTAATAATCTCTTTTCTTTTTACCTTTATTGTGAACACTTTGTAAAAATAATAATGAGGAAAAATGAAGAGGACTTTTATTTCGCATGTGACATCATACTGTTCTGAGGCAAGGAGAAAAGAGATAAATAAACAAAAATCCTGTGTAGTTATAACTTTGACGCACCGTGGGAAAGTTTTTGCACGACGTGGTTTTTTTTATCGTTTTTTTTTTTTTTTTTTTTTTTTTTTTTTTTTTTTTTTGCTAATTTAAATTTTTCCAGGATTTGCTATCAGTTTTATGCAGCACTGTGTGCTAATTTATTATATACATGTATATATATATATATATATAGAGAGAGAGAGAGAGAGAGAGAGAGAGAGAGAGAGAGAGAGAGAGAGAGAGAGCTCATTCATGATTTCATCGAATAGTTTATTTTATTTTTCATATTTAACTATAAATAAACTAAAATGTGTAAAGTTAACCCGAGAAGTCCCGTCTCTTTTTTTTACTTCTTTAAATAGCTGTTAGTAATTAAAAAAAAAACTCGTCGGTAATCACTTTAGTGGCTATATGACTAAGCTTAATTTAATGACATTTTAAAACTTGTTGTATTTCATATTCTTAAAAACTAACAAATAAAGTATATTGATGCAGAGTTGAAAATTTTAAAGTTGTTATTGTGATATCTCATAAAAACAAAATAAAACAATTTCAGGAAAAATAAGAATTCTTCAGAGTTTTCTATACATGCTTGTTTTTCACATTTAGGTTGGAGCTCGAATTATTAAAACGAAAGGCGTTTCTTTGTACAAATTTTGTATTCATGTGCTCAAAGAAAAGCAAACCAAGACTATGCGTGCCTAAGTCCTTTGTATCATGCATATTGACAAAGAATCATTTAAATACACCCAGTCAATAAATCGATAAAATATATAAAATAAATAGATAACTTATGTCAATATGGACTGTCATTCACTTTATTAAATTTTGCGTTTGGACATGTGAACAATTCTGTAAAAAGTATGGCTGGTATTGACAAAATGCAATGAAATAAACATTCTTCAATTCGTTTTATACACAAGATTTACAGAATGAATGCATCAAGAAAGGTTACACATTGCCTATGACTAATATAAATCTTTGTCTCTAAAGTGATATACCGACCGATCATTTCAGATCTTTATCTTCATGGTTTGTTCCGATGTCCTTTATTATATTTCTATGCTCTAATTATTCATAATAAAACAATGAACTTTGGTCTTAAACTGATTTAGCCAGAGTTTGAATTAGTCATTTGAATTCTTTATTAATATACATTGCAATATAATTAAAGCGTTACAAGGTCGAGACTCGGTACATGTGTATTTGAATTTGATAGCTTACAACAATCTACTTAATATGCGAAAATGATACTGCATTACCGTTGTGTATGTATTCCATAATTCAATATTTGTGTATTTAACATTTTGGAGACATATTTCTTTGTAGTCAAACTAGCGGGCGAATCATAATTAATCCAGTCCTTATTGGAAATTTAATCCAATCCTTTTAAAAATTATGTATCAAACCAACACCTTTAAAATTGTATTCAGCACAAATACAATGGTTAATAGGACCAGTTACAATGTACTTGAATAAGCTTATCTTTGTATGAAGTTGCATGTTTGTATATAAAAAGAACAGTGGTCGATCTCCAAAAACCTAACAATACAAATCTGTGAACAGGGCATAACGCTGATCCCTGGAAATTCTAGAGTTGGAATCAGGTGCCAAGGAGGAGTAAGCATCCCCTGTCGACCGGTCACACCCGCCGTAAACATATGATGCACATGAAGTCATCATAGAATTCCTTCAAATCTCGTTTTTTTTTCCCATAGAACAAGGCAACCACAACAACTGAGGTGACTGTAGTTTAGCAAGAGAGGGACAGAGTTTGTAAGAATCCTCTATACATGAAATGTGAAGTTAGCGAACAGTTTAGCAAGAGAGGGACAGAGTTTGTAAGAATCCTCTATACATGAAATGTGAAGTTAGCGAACAGTAACCATGCTCAAAAATCTAATTAAACAATACAAATAGTGAGCAGAGCAAACTCTGAAAACAGAGGTGGGATCAGGTGCCATGTAGGAGTGCGCATTCCCTGTCGACCGGTCATAACCTCTTTGTGCTCTTAATTTGTCATGATCTGTTAAACGAAAAAATCCTTAAAAATCTTTCAGTGTGAAAATAATGACCTAATAATTCGTATGAAAAACAGTCAACAATCGACTTATTGATAGATTAATTTTGCATTAGCAAATATGTCATTTTATCAATCATAGAATTTGCCAAATGTTGACTGTTGATATCAAATTAATATATATTAATGTATCACCACCGAAACATGAACTTTAATAATATATAAGCATATCTAACTATTGATTAACAAGACGCCCACAACGCTCCTTGCGTCGACTTGGACTCAATATTGCTATTCTTCAGTTTAAATGTTTTTATTTCTATTTTATTCTCATGCAAAATTTTTTATTTCTATTTTATTCTCATGCAAAATTTTTTATTTCTATTTTATTCTCATGCAAAATTTTGACCAAATCTTATTGGTCCATCCTAGTCCAAGTGGGTTATGATTTAAGAGAATTTGAATCCTTACAACAGTGGGACGCATGCTTCAATATCAATATGAATAACATAGCCTATTGTTGCTAGATGCATGCAAAAAAAAAAAAAAAAAAAAAAAAAAAAAAAAAAAAAACTTTTTTAAAGATCCCCCTCCCTTGAAAACTTTCATTATGTTAAATTTGATCCCCGATTTTAGCCCTACCCTAACTCTAGGGTCGTCGGTTTGAAAAAAAAAATTGAATTCACACAATTTAGGAATGTTTGCACATTAATATGTGCCCTACTACATTTGAAAAGATTTTTTTTTATATTCCCATGTAAAACTCTGATCCCCTATTGTTAGCCCACTCTATCCCTGGGGACCATGATTAAACTTGAATATGCAATCACCTATAAGATGCATACATATTTAAAAAACAACAACAACTGAATTTTCACTACTTGAGGATGCTTGCTTATAAATATGGCATAAGGCTACTCGTGACCCTCTTGTTCTTCAGCAAAAGAAAAGTTGTTTTTTTTTTTTATAGTAATTTTCCATGTAAAACTTTGGCCCCCCCAATGTGGCCCTATACTATCACCCAGGAGCCATTTGAATTTATCATTTTAATGTTCAATTGATAAATAATAGTCATACAAGATTAGGTTAGTAATGGTTGAATGTTTGCAAGTTATAAATATTGTCTATACGACTTTTTGGGACAGCCCTTGTAAACTAAAAAAGACCGGAAAAATGAAAGTCTTTGTATCCGACTGTCCAATCCTCGGGTAATTAAAAGACCCGCCTAAAGTTTAGATTCTTTTTAGCCTCTGGGGCTCGTAACATAAAGCTGTTAAGATAGGGACATAAGTATGAATTAGATGCAGTCTTATTACCTGCCTTAGTACAGTGCTGCTTAAGTAAATCTTATGTCATAACATAAAACGAACTAAGCGAGGTCTTAGCTAAGTCAAATTAATGTACACAAAATCCATTACGAATCCTCCTGTTGTTTCATTATATTTACGTAAAATGATGAAAAATTATCATTGAAAGATGACTTTCGTTTATCAATGGACGCAATTGACCACTCCTACGTTTTCAGTTTATCAATTGTCTCTACCGGTACTTCAATGTTCAATCGCTTTGTCGTTGTCGAGACTTGGTCCGAAAAACGAACTTCTTGCTATTTGCAATAAATTACAGTATTGAAACTCGTATTAATTTCAAGAATTACAAAACATTAGAGAAATTCTGATTTCTTATTAATCTTATAAGTATAAGCGAATGTCAGCAAGCAAAGACTATGGACGTTTTATGATATAGTTATTTACAATTCAATCAAGAGATCGAGGAGTATTTGTTTGCAAAATATATTTTTGTCTGTCCCAAACTTATAAACAGTCTCTTCCTCTCTGGGGGTGGGGTGGGGAGGAGTTGTAGGGTTTTTTCACCCAAAGTATTCATCATTGAAAGCTTCAGTTATGTATAGTGTTTTGTAGCAAATTTATAATAGTTGATTTTCAGATTCCGGATTGTTATCATGATCATAGCTACCTGTTATTAATTTTCTATTTAGCTGTTTAGTCTTATCTATTTGTAAGCTAGGACAGTTTATTGCTTTTTAATTATAGTGATAATTAGTTAATCACAGGTGGTCATTGTTTAATGTTATGTATTGCCTCCCCACTTAGAGGAGGTAGATTTTTCACTCCCCACATTGTGGAGGCTCAGTATAGTATATAAGGGAGCGAATTTGAACAGTTAAAGTAGTTGCAGTTGCAGTTGTATAGTGAATTATTGTAATATCAGACAGAATGGATTTAGACAGGATAGCGGGAGTTTAGGATTTTTATATATTCATCTGGATTATTTTACTATTATTTCTAATGTGAAGTGTGGACTATATATGTGTAAATGTTTTGTGTAGATATGTAAATAAATTAGTGAACTTTTATGCGGACTTCATAGTCATTCAGCACAATACTGAGGAAAGATGAGAATTTAAGTAAAAACCGCTCGGACAGTAAATGTTTATCAACTCAGCAGTTTAAGTTGACTCCCCCGCAGCTCGGCCTGCGCTACAG